ATGTCGCTGACCAACACAAAGACCGGATTTTCGGTCAAGGACATCTTGGACCTACCGGACACTAACGACGAGGAGGGCTCGGTGGCCGAGGGGCCGGAGGAGGAGAACGAGGGGCCGGAGCCCGCCAAGAGGGCTGGGCCTCTGGGGCAGGGCGCCCTGGACGCGGTGCAGAGCCTGCCCCTGAAGAGCCCCTTCTACGACAGCAGCGACAACCCGTACACGCGCTGGCTGGCCAGCACCGAGGGCCTGCAGTACTCCCGTGAGTAGCGAAGCTTTCGGTCTGCAGCGGTGACCCGCCCGGTTCCTGCGGCGCAGCCCGGCCCAGACGCGGGTGTCCAGGGGGAAGAAGCCCGCGGAGCGCAGGCTTCTCCAGGGTCCCCAGGAAGGTTTCTAACAGTTGTCTGGGATGAGCTCTGTCCTGTCCTCCTCCAGTCCCCCTTCCTTCAAAAGGCTTGGTATCAAATATTTTCCCCCCAATGTGAGCAAGGAAAAAGAGGAGAAGGTAAACCAGAGCTGGTTGTAGATGTCACCCTTATGTGATGGCTCCGGCCAGGCCGTGGAGCTCTCCTCAGGGAGGGACTGGCCTGGACCCTAGAGATGGCCAGCGAGCCTGGTCTGACCGCGGGAGAGGGTGGGGAGGCTTCGGGTGGCCTGGGTATAAGTAGCTCACCCTGCCCCCTGCGCGATCATAGAGGACGCTTTGTGTGGTGCGGGGGTGTCGGGAAAGCCCGAGAGCAAAAGCGAAAGCCCCCAAAAACCTGCCTTAAATGGCCTAGCCGATCAATGCTGGGATTGTGAAGTTTTTCTTTTAAAAATCTGCCCACGTCTCTCCAGAGAGGAAACAACTTAAGGGGCCCGGAGCCCTTAACCCGCGATGATCTCCCACGCGCCCCTCCACGCCCAAATGCACACCCACATTGTGCGAACCCCCAGAACCGCTAGTTCCGCGTCCCCACTCCTGCAGGTTATGCTCTTTCCCCAGGGAGACCCGGGCGCTTCCCCTGGCGTGGAGAGTAGCTGGTCTCCCGCTCCCAGGAGCAGGGCGCACGGAGGATCCGCTGCGCCGGCGCTGCCCGGGCTGCGCGGGGCCTCCTGGCGCTCACGCGCTTTTCTCCCACACAGTGCATGGACTGGCGGCCGGAGCGCCCCCTCAAGACTCCAGCGCCAAGTCCCCAGAGCCCTCGGCAGACGAGTCACCGGACAATGACAAGGAGACCCCGGGCAGCGGAGGGGATGCGGGCAAGAAGCGGAAGCGGCGCGTACTGTTCTCCAAGGCGCAGACCTATGAGCTCGAGCGGCGCTTCCGGCAGCAGCGGTACCTGTCCGCGCCAGAGCGCGAGCACCTAGCCAGCCTCATCCGCCTGACTCCCACGCAGGTCAAGATCTGGTTCCAGAACCACCGCTACAAGATGAAGCGCGCTCGGGCCGAGAAAGGTATGGAGGTGACACCCCTGCCCTCGCCGCGCCGGGTGGCGGTGCCCGTCTTGGTCAGGGACGGCAAACCGTGCCATGCGCTCAAAGCCCAGGACCTGGCCGCCGCCACCTTCCAGGCGGGCATCCCCTTTTCGGCCTACAGCGCGCAGTCGCTGCAGCACATGCAGTACAACGCCCAGTACAGCTCGGCCAGCACTCCCCAGTACCCTACAGCACACCCGCTGGTCCAGGCCCAGCAGTGGACTTGGTGAGCACCGCCCCTGAGACTCGCGGCCCACGCCAGGCTCACCCCGGCGGCGGCGAGGAGGACTCCGGTCCTTGGTGGTTACTATTATTATTATATTATTATCGGAGAATCGTCTCCTCTCGACTCCCTTGACGAGGCGCCGCTGGGAGGTTCCATCCACCGACTCCCCTGTCTCTCCTTTGAACCTTTGGAGGGGGTTGAACTCTGAGCCTGTTTACAGACGTGTTTGCGCAGCTTCGCTTCGTGCCTCTCTCTGGGGGCACCAAACCACCCCAGCGTTAACGTCCTCACTTGAAAAGGAGAAAAAGACCAACCCTTCACCCGCTTTCGTGAATTTTGTAAAATATGTTTGTGTGAGTAGCGATATTGTCAGCCGTCTTCTAAAGAAAGTGGAGAACACTTTAAAAATATAGAGAATTTCTTCTTTTTTAATGAGAAAATGCTAAATATTTATGGCAATGTAAACGTTCCGACTACTGGTGGCAGATTTCGCTTTGGGTTGTAAATATCGGTGGTGAATGTTGCCAAAATGACCTTCAGGATGGGCCTTGTTTCCCCTCCGGGCCTAACTCTCTGCTTTGTCGTTTCTTTTGGTTTGGTTATGTTTGGGTTACCCCCGTTTTCTTCTTTTTTTATTTTGTTCAGTGCAAACTATTTTCAAATATGAAAAAGGAAAAAATGTGTAGGCCAGAAGCCCCCGACCCGCGCCCCATTTTCTGGGACCTGAGGCCGGAACTTGGAGCTCAGCCATTCCGCGCGGTTCCCCAAGAGCGCCGGGCGCCGAAAGCTTTCGATTTTTTAAATAAGAATTTTAATAAAAATCTTGTGCTTAAAAAAAAAAAAGAAGAAGAAGCCCATTCCCCGGGTTTGTCGGACTGTCGCCTCTAGCCAGGCCCGGAGGCCTAAGGCCTTGAGCGTGTGCGGCCGGGCGTGCTTCCTCTTCGGCAGGGGAGGCTGGTACCGGGGCGCCGGAGGGGACCCCGACAGGCTTCTTCTGGCCCCACCGGCCCAACTCTGCGACCGGTCCCGGAGCGCTCGGCCGGCGATCTGCAAGAGCTTGGTCTCCAGTCCAGGCGGCCTCCCCTCTCCCCGCCTCTCCGCTGCGCGTGCCTGGGGCTGCAGCGTCCAGGCCTCGGGTGGAAAAGTGACTTTGGGAAACGCTAAGGCAAGGAGAGCAAGCCCCCCTCGCTCTCCCAAATCTGAGTGGGTCCTTCAGCCTGAGAAGCTGTTGACGCCACTACACTCGATGACTTTCACTTTGTTTCGTTTGATTTACCTCGCTCTGAGAAGGGGCCGGGGTGTGCAGTGAAGACTGGGCGGCTTTCACTCTTCTCCCCACCCCCTTTTCAAAATATGCGGACGCCTATATTGTGCACTGGAGAGCCTGGGAGCTGCTCTGCGGCCGGGGCTCAGGGCT